TTAAAACAACGAACGTGGATACATGGTATATATATGGAGTGTTGTCTATTCCAGGATATGAATGAACCGGCAAACTTTGTGGAAGGCTCGGTAAAGGGGTGTGACTACAATAATCCGTTAGAATCGCCGCCATATAAACCAGGTAATTAGCATATTCATCAACACGCATTGTAAACAGTCACTGTTCTCCGTCGATGCAAGGTTTTTTCACAGAGCGGTGGTTGTCATGTAATGTAGTCCAGCAGATGAACCATCAAAACCTGATTATGATAAAAGCATAATTTGGCACATATGTAGAGTCGATAATGTGCTTATCAAAATAAGAGGTAGACCTACTTTGACACCCTTCTCCAAAGACAGATATTTGGGTTTAAAAAAAAAACATTTTGGACCAAAAAATAAATAAGTTGGGAAACTAGCAAATAATCGTTTAAACAACGTTCCTACTGTAATATACAGCGTATATGTTAACCACGATCTTATATATTCGTATAGCTTCAAGAAATGTTGCATATTTTATTTTAAAAAATCCATTTTTAGTCAACAATTTGAATTTGCATGATACAAGCGATGATTATTCTTTCAGACATAGCCTACAAGAACTGCACTCTTGAGTAGAAGTAGTAAACTTGGCACAATTGTACTACCCGGGTAGCTAGGTGATCATATTTCGATATAGCACCGAATGAGAACTGCCATCTAGAGGTATATAACGCCATCTATGGTATCAGTATTTTATTATGATACAATTAAAGCTTGGCGCCTTATGTATAGTTTCTTATCTAAAAAGCGATATTTCTTCATTACTACTATACCAGTTAAATTACCTATACAATTGTGTCTAATTTCATGATTCTCCCAAAAGTGCATAATTTATATAATATATATCAAATCTTTACCCATAAACATGTTGTTAACTGAAATGTGTAATATATCTTGCAATGGACCCATCTCTTATTCTAATAAGCACACTCAACTTTACATTTGTAAAAAGTTTCACGCTTTTCTCGTAATTTGAACATCACTTCACCTTATCGGCTGGACTAGTGTGTTTTTACACGTATCGTCGTGTGTGACACATCAAAGACGCCGCGCTGCGACGGCCACCACCCTTTAAAAGTGCCTGAGTGCGAGTGACGTCATAACACATATTGATGCCCTAACTAACACATATGACAACTCGCAAGTATGGCGCAAAGTTGCATGAAATTGCAAAATCGTGAAAATTAAATTCGCCACCCGACAGAAAAAAAAATATGACAAATTTGTATTGATTTTACCACAGTCACTCTACTAGTACCGTGACGTAACTAGTAGAGTAGAGTGACTATAATTTTACATAAACTGACGTTTATTGTGAAAAACTCTTCTTGATAATATATAGACCTAATTTAAATTAACAATTGAAATGTACACATATAAAATTCCGGTGAACTGAAATGGTATTTAAAAGAAATAAAAACAAGATTGTTATCACAAACATGTCTCAGTTTGTTATGGCTGCCCTCGTTACCCAGAAATGTGCCATGCCTTAAAAAAACATCTCTCTATTTTACAGCTATATGGGGAGCGACGCTCGCCGACAAAACAGTGTGCATGGCGGCAAAGACACATAAATCATCGACAGAAATCAGTAACCAGTATAACATGCATAGTTTATTTGGATGGAGTCAAAATGAACCAACACTGAGGTAGGTAAATAGGTAGATGCTTACCGAAACGACTGTCCAAACTCTCTGTCCTAATGTCAACATGCCAGGCAACAATGGATTGTCGAAATAAACGTACATATTATGATTTATCCATTCCACAACTGCTATAAATCTACACTTTATTGGGGCTCTAAAATCTGCAATCTTATAAATTCATGTAATACTGAGCTGAACTGACGTCTGTAAATGAAAACATGGAATAAATTGGTTTCAGTTCATTCTAGTATATGCAAACGGAACCTGGGCATCTGAAACATAAATGCATGAGAGAACATGAATTCATTTTCCATTTTATTTATTTATCTTGTTTTTACTTAGAATTTTATCTCAGTAGTACGTTGATTAAAACAAATTAAAAAGGGATAAACGGCAACACATGCCCCTTTAAGATTATTCGTTTAATTACAATCAACTCTTGTTATATACACGGTTAAGAAATATCCTGCCGTTCGTGGCGTACTCCGCCCTCTGGTGACAAATTTGATGTAAATTCTCGCCGTTGGGGGCACGCTATCAGTCATCGTATTTTGGCGTAGTTTTCGTAGGGTGGAGACCATGTATAACCATGACATGTTTACACACTGAATGAGTATACACTATATATATGTAATTTCATTATATCACAACACAGCCATCTAACTGCTAGCCTCGCTTCTGATACGGAGAAATGAGAATTAAAATGCGCGTACCTGAAAAGCGATTCCCTCATTTTAGTGGGAAGGTTAAAGTGGAAGGGTCACCTGCGCACGTGTGGGAATTGAGTTCCAAGCGACGATAATAACACATGCTAAAAACGCAAAGGCTCATGGGTAGACGCTTGTTTGTAAACAATGACAAGCTATCTGACGCATTCGCAGGTGACGAACTCCTCCGCTTTAACGTCGATTTCATTGACTTCGCCCACACACCACGCGGTATTGTTCATTTCACACCCCGTTCATCGTCATCCGTTCTTAAGCGACGTTGGTAAAGATTCGAATTCGTGACGCATACAGTTGAGGTAGCATGCATCTTGTTACAGCCCCAGTTGAGGTAGCACGCATCTTGTTACAGCCCCATTACGCAAGAACAACAACAACAATGTATTCATTTTAACAGTGTAATACGGTGCATGCCTTAATCGTTTGTCGTCTATCCCGGCCCCCCACTCCCTATATTTAGGCGGGGCCTATGCTTGTTCCCTCATTTTTTTGACCCCCCTATCTAGGTAAAAGAAGAAAATTTAACCCCCCCTTTCACGGGCTTTTCTGATGAATTTCACCCCCTATCTAGGGAACTTTTCAGTCTAGAACTCCTTTTAAACCCCCCTTTTTTGTATATCTCGGGAAGTGTTTTGAAATACACCCGGGCCCCCTATTTTGAGAATCTCGGGAAAACAAGCAAAAAATACCCCCTTTTCTACGATTTTCTCGGGAAAATGTTCCCGAGACAGATCGTCAAAAAGTACCCTCTTTCCCGAGAAAATGGGAACGCGCATGCGGCCCCCTATGGATCCTGAGTGGGGGGGGTCGTCTATTTTTTTCCACTTGAGCAATTCACCATTCCTGTCAACACATGCATCCGGATAAATGGTAGTGTTCGATATTTTGTTATATTGCTTATGTATATGCACTGATTATACACCATATTAGTTTCGTAAATTGGAAAAAAACATAACGTTTGTACTACTTACTCGTTTTCAGTGCAACAAGAGACGCAACTGGTAAAAGATCCATCGTTGTCACTCGATCTACCTTTCCAAGCAGCGGTAAATACTCGGGCCATTGGTTAGGTGACAATGCTAGCGTTTGGCCGCATGTACATAAGTCTATTATAGGTAAGTCTATGTACTAGTGGTAGGGTTAACATGGGAAATCAGGGGTGCAGTGATTAAGTGTCGGGTGTATGAAAATGATTTCCATATCTCACGGTGTACGTAAGGGTTGGCCCGGACATTTCGGCCGCGGCTTTGTTTTCAATTTTAAAGAAAATGAGTTTAAATAATGTATTCTTCAGTGTTTTAATAGAACTTACGTGAGAGGAGCAAAGAAAATCTAACATGAACATTTCAGATTAATGTGATTTTCCAAACACTACTTATAAATTAAATTAATATATCCTTCGAGATGTTCTGGAAAAAAGGAAATTACAACCTTTTAATCCGGAAATTAACTTTTTATGCAAAATACGACACGGAAATATATCGAGAGAATTAAGTAATAAAATGTATGTTACAAGCAAGCACGGTTTATTTATATTTATTTGCTAATAACGTACGAGTGATGGTACGTTTCATTGTATAATGCCCACGACAACTTGAAGAAACGATTGCATCAGATAACTGAGGCAATTAATGTAGGCATTAAGGTAGCAACATAAGTTAAACCTCTAAAAAACTTATCTGTGATCCAGACATTCTCTAAACGGCACAAAGAATACTAATAAAACAACCTGCACAGATTCTGAAAGCTTAGAATACGATATATGTAAGCCGTACCAATGTTTGTCTAAATGACTACTTGACGGCAAATTTCGCTGTTGTGCTTTTTTGACTATTCATAAACTGGAGTGACATGTGAACTGCACGTTAGTCGTAGAGTAGACGACATCAAGATGACGAAAACATAGAATAGTGACATGAAATTAACTAAAAACAAATAACAATGACATCATGATAACGAAGACAAGGAACGAAAAATAACTAAAGCCAAGAAATATATGTTAGCCGTTGACTAACCATGATTGTGTCTTTCTATAGATAGAGAGGTAACCCCCTAAAATGTCCTTCTCGATGTGAAGCACTACGAGAGCAGCACAATGCTGTTATATATTTGATTCTTGTGGGGATAATTTAGATATACATTTTGATTTTTGGCGCGGCATATGTTTTTAATTTGAACGATGTTGAAATTAGTTTATAACGTAGCATCTCGTCGATAGAGGTATGGAAATGCAAAAATAGGTCCTCATAGTCGACCCGAAAAAACATTCCCATTCTTAGACTAAATTTTCTCATTTCATAAAATGTATATTTTTCTTCAGGAATGCTGGAATTCGGTTTATTTGGCATACCATATGTAAGTAGCTGTTTTACGATTGATCTGTCGTTTTTTGAGTATTTTCTGCAGTAGAGTGAGCAATCTAAACACTTAACATTGTTTGTCAACGTAACAGATTGGTGCCGATATATGTGGATTTTTTGAAGACACTACAGAATCATTGTGCAGACGCTGGTCTCAACTCGGTGCCTTTTACCCGTATTGTCGTAATCACAATGGTCTGAATTACAGGGTAAGTACCGTATTGAACACCTGGAGGTGGGGGGGCAATACATAGAACTTTTCTAATGGGGACGTGCCCCTGAAATCGGTCTCGTTTTTTTGGATTTTAGGTATAAGTATCGGTCTTATTTCTGGTTAAGATAGGTATAAATATTGGTAATATTTTTCCGATTTGGTATACTTATGGGTCCGTATATGAGCGAATATCTCCACCTCAGATCCCGGCCTCGGATCCATATATACATCAACACGGAAATTAAACAAGGCAATCAACATTTAAACGGGGATTAAACACGGAATAGAATAGAGCACACATTCCTCAGTGAAATATAGAGCAACTACGGTAACTGTATTATTTGGAATAAACAGTGATGACAGAAATGGCACTTTGGTATAAATATGGGTATGAATTTTGCCACTATTTACGTATAAAAATAATCATACTTATGAACACTCGGGGCACCTCCCTACCCAGCTATGTATCAACTGCCCCCGGGATTGAACATTACAATACAACAATTAGGCCGTCGTGCACGACATTTCCAAAGGCTGCTCGAAAATTGTTTTTTTTATTTGAAACAGTGTGTCTGTCGCTGGTGGCACAATATCTTGTCTTCATATGCGTAAATTGACGTTCGTGATGTTTCATATAAACAAAATTGGAGAGACATTAGGAACATTTGTTCTGTTATTCATATAACATACTCTTTTTACATTCCTAAATTTTCACTGAATTCTTAGTATATATTATATCTACCTATTTGTACCATTTACATTTTTTGACTAGATTTTGTTCCCTCAATATGTGAGATACACCAGCGAAATCGCAACTGTATAACGATATAAAGACACTCCAGTCAGTTTTCGTGTTAACATGAAACGTCCGTCGTGTCATGGTTAACTCGATGTCGGAGTGATTAGTGTCTCCTAGTTTCAAGATTCTCTTTATAGATGTACATCAATAGATTTACAACATTCATTGCATCTGACGTTACGGAATACGTTGATATTTATCCTGACATTCAAAGAAAAAGATACCTCAAGTTATGCAATCAGCATATAAATAATCATATAAATACTGACGTTTTAAAGTTTGCTAAAGAGAAAACATAAACTGCCTACTCTAATTCACGCATATATTTTCAGAGACAAGATCCAGCTGGATTTGGTGAGGAGTTTGCGAAGGAAGTGCGAGATGTCTTACACATACGATATAAATTATTACCATATCTTTATACGTTGTTTCATTATGCTCACACAGAGGGCACTACAGTAGTGAGGCCATTGATGCACGAGTGAGTATTGTTTTATGAACTAATACTTACTTTACTTTCGTACAAACCGTGCTGGATTGCAGTATACTCCTGAACTCATTCTCCATCACAAAATTCCCATAACACACCACGCCATGACAGAATGGATGAGTGTAGTGTAGTGTAGTGTAGTGTAGTGTAGTGTAGTGTAGTGTAGTGTAGTGTAGTGTAGTGTAGTGTAGTGTAGTGTAGTGTAGTGTAGTGTAGTGTAGTATTCCTGATAATTTGTCTATTATTTTTTAGATTTGTTAGCGATACTGAAACATGGACCATTGATAGACAGATGTTATGGGGTCCAGCTTTTCTGATATCTCCCGTATTGGACGAGGTATGTGTCAAGTGACAATGACCACGTGACATAATGATGTAATACTGATCCATCACAATATATTACCAATCTCGCTAACTGCCTCGTGTACATTTACAAAGATTTATAATATAATAATATACAAACAATAAATATCACCACACCGATTTTAATTTTGGTTTTTGTGTAATTATTTGTTCAGCATGTTGAAGAAATTGATGCATACTTCCCAGACACCCGTTGGTATGACTACCATACTGTGAGTATAACGCTCGTGATTATCATATAACGTTGTATTTATCTTATTTTTAATCAGTACATCTGCACGATACGCACAGATAATTTTGAATCTAAAAAATAAAAAAGCAGTAATCATTAATGTGAAAAAATAAATGAATGAACATATGCTTAAATGTAACAATAATACCTCTTGATTAGGGTGTGGAGATGTCTAAGGGGGATCGTGGTAAATACGTGACACTCGCTGCACCATATCACTACATACCATTACATGTACGCGGAGGATATATACTCCCTACACAAGAAGCTGCTAATTCAACAGTCTTCAGGTAAGTTGTCATTATCTTAGAACTTCAGCAAGTATTCACATTTAAGATTCATATGCCGGGATTGGAGACATATCGATTCCCACTTCGCTATTCGAGACCCTGCGCCCTTAGCCACGATTCTATATGGCTATGCATATAATTAGAGTTGTTGGCGCTATATAACTTTTAATTTTCTGAACCATGAATCACCCAGCCTTATTTCAGAATGAATATGGTGTTATTTGTATTTTAGCAGCGACTTGTCAGTTCAAGAGGCAGCTGAGAAACACACTTTTTCACTTTTGCTTCATGGTAGCCCCCTCTCCATCCTTGGACCTCATCCCACCACGATGTCAAATTTCCTAATTTGAATCTCAAATCTTGGCAACATACCTAGTAAGATTTTGGAGGTCCTTCAATTCTGGCATGGAGAGAATTGTGCGCGCTCTAAGGCCCTCTGAGAATGTTCTCTCATCAATTAAGTTGTCGTTTGCCAGATCTTACCGCTAAACTCTGGCTTTTAGTCCTGACAAGTTTTCAGCCTATGCCCAGGCCGCTAGGTGGGCGATGCCTCATAATCTGAGAAAGTAATATTTGTATAGTGAAAGTTGTCTCTTAACCGTATTCTTTATAACTGGGCTGTTGGTAGTGCCCTCCCTCAAACAGCTTTCGTTTTTATTTTGTTTTGTTTTTTCAGGTCCTGTTCATTAACGTTATCCCAATGATTTAAACGATTTAATGAGCGTTTATTCTGTTCCGTATTCCAAAAAATGCTGTCATCAGATTTATACGACTTTGCCAAACTATCAATTGTTTCTGATATTTCCTAAAATATCTCAGAAGTGCAAATATATCCAGGTTATATTATTATAAGTATAAAAACAATTTTTTTTCTCCGTGCCATCATTTTAAAACACGCCCTCATCGGTCATTGTTTCACGAAGTATGCTCATTAATACTCAAATAAAATGTTTGGCTTTCTTTAAATATGTTATACGTGAAGGTAATATAAACACTAAATACTGTGTTGCAGTGGCATATTAACCCCTGCGCTTATTATATGTTATTGTTATGAATTATTAATAATCGCATATCTTTATATATTCGAAAAATATCTGATTTTTTGAGAAAAAAATTACATCATCGTTTGCTAAGAACAGTAAACACAGAAACTGCAGCAAAAAAAAATAATTCACTTTAAATGAAAGTTAACAAATAATGGTTCAGATTGCTAAATCTGCATGATTTAAACAACAACTTATAAAGTAGATAAAAGAAATTTAAAAGAAATATAACCCCAGAATATAAACTTAGAATTTGTATTAACTATATAATAGAGTGTACCTTTATTCAATTTGTTTTTCATAGTCGACTGAAACCGTTTGGTTTAATTGTTGCGTTATACGATGATTTAAATGCCAAGGGCTCACTGTTCTGGGATGATGGAGACACAGTCGGTGAGTTAACACACACTTTCCCACAGTATATTAATTACCTGGGTGTCTGTCTGGATTTGTCGACTCGGAGTCAGGTTACGTACACACGCCGTAAACTATTATCTGACCACTATTACTTACCGTATATTTGTGTAAAAGGAATAACCACTCAACTATAATGAGTAATCAAAATAATTACGAAAATTATTTACAGTGACAGGTACAGTACATAACATCATATAACTATTCTAACCTCAGTTTGCTGAGGTAATTATAAATTGTTTCTCCTTGTTTACTTACAGATACTTTTGAGAATGGCGAATATTATTTGGCTGAATTCCACGCAACTAAGGTGATATTTTGATATATTTTCACCCAAAAATGTGTGCGATTTTGATGGATGTATTTTAAAATATGTTAACATGCCAGTAATGCGACGTGTTCCATTGGCCAAAGGAACGAGTCGGGAAAATGACGTCACCTTTTTGAATGTCATTCTTAATTATCATAGTTTCAATGTTGATTATAGGATGGATTAAACAGCTATATACGCCACGACAATGGTCAAGTTAATGGTCAAACAATGAATGAAATACTTGTATATGGATTAACTAGTGACGTCAACAATGTATATCATAATACTGTAAAACTTAACGTCAATAATTGGGAATATGATAATCAGAAGGTGAGAAAATGTTCACTATTTTTTATTATTATGCTCTGCTCTGTTTCTTCGTGAATACTCGTTTATAAATAATACGTATAACACATGCTAATATTGTTAAATAATATAACATATTAATCAAACACATAAATTAAAATTTAATACAAATTACATTTTTTGAATGACTGTGATATGTTCTTTATTGTGGCCTGATATATGAACCAATCACACACAAAAAACTGTTTATTTGACAATAAATAAACGTTTCCTTTTTCATGTCGATTTTGTTTACACTCGATAAATTATTGTCATGCTCTCTCCTTTAGATTATCTGAATATTACATTATGTTTGCATTTTTAGGAGATTACGCATAACTAATCTGGGTCAAGATATGACGCTACCAATGTCAATAGTCTGGAATTAACAACGAGGCTGATGTGTGCACGGGGAAAACAAAATCCAAAATAATTTATTATGGTCCTTTTGTTGGGATTCAAGTTATGATACTAATATTAATATATGATATGTAAATGTATATGTACGCATTGACTTTAATAAATTAACAAACGATTTCCTCCATGCACTTGTTTTCCTTTCTTTCAGCTAATTCGATACGTTAATTTGTTTTTTATGCGTGCTTCATGAACATATATGACTGAAGAGAATTTATATTATGCTCAAAACATAAAGCCTTTAACACATTTATACGAGTATAGATGTTCTGGATAATGTGTACAGGATAATGACATGAGCAATTAACAAATTACAGAAATGAATAAAGTTGCTATGACTGAATGTAAATAAGTACAAGTGATACTATGTTTATATACAAATTTTCAGTGAATTATTAAATGCTGACTAATTAATGCCAGAAATCATCAAATACCCTCGTGTCGGATGTATTTTTTAACTTAAATATGATCTATATTATTATACATCTGTCACCGTAACGCCATAAGTTATAGCGTGTCATACTTTTGCGGTATTTTACGGGAAATTTTCATTCTACCATTTTAGGAAATGCGAATTCCAAATATGGAATGATTACGCGCGTAAGCGTCTCTAATAATAAAAACAAACATGGCTGCCACCAGGGATTGACCAGACTGATTATGTTCTACACTTTTTGAATTTCGGCATTCCCATGATGTATCCTTGGAATGAAAAGATGTATAATAATAAGGTTATTACGAATATTATACCTCAAAGTACGCACTCAGACAGTACGTCGTCGCATTGACCTCCGCTGCGCGTCGGTCGATACTGCCGCTGTACTGTCTTCGTGCATACTTTGAGGTATCTTCGCATTAACCTCGTATTACTGTGTGAAATAGTAGTAACATGATGCGCTTTTATTGGGCATGGTATCACACTAGCACTCTGCTGAATACATAGTTGTCTTAGAATTAGTATTGCAATACACAATTCCATTTCACACTGGGAGACATAGTGTATGTGCTTACTCACACTCTTGTGTTATTTGCACAAATTTGAACACATATAGCCCATCTGTGGAGTGATTCATGCATTCTGAGAACGTACATTTTTTTTCGAAATGTTTTTTTTTTCCAAATTTAATTATTTTGCTATAGCAGTGGAATAAACAAAACTTCGTTTACAAATATACTATATAATTCTTGGAAAATGTCAAGCCCTGGTTGTGTCTTTGTATGGATGTATAACAAATATATGCAAATTATCTACCAGGTAATAGGGAGAGTACTTATGTTGGTGAATATATTTCCCAAAAATTAGCAGCTTATTTGCACATCTTTGAATTGTTGTCGCCAGACTTCGAGAAATTTGACATTTTGATCACACATTGCAAAACAAATTTTTCGAAAAACAAATATAGTAAACCTATTGGGAATTTAATAGGGTCCGAAATGGTAGTTCAATGGTAAAAACCACTGGAGAAATCAATATCCAATGATACAAAACATAGAGAATTCTGGGTAATTTAGTGATAAGAATGCAAGAGTGAATTATGCAATTACAAAATAGATTCGAGACATGATTGCTAGGAGTTCAAGTCCATATATGTAATATATGTCAGTTTATATTGTTCATCCTACCTAGATAGTAAACCACAGATATTTTGAATACACAGAGCTAGCCTGAATAGACTGGTAACGTAGTGATTGTTGTGCCGGTTCTGAGAATATATTCTGAACATACAAAAGTGGTTAAACGCGACTCTTGAGAAGTCGCATAAACTAGCAGTTTCTGCCAAACGTATTCATTATTTCATCTATCAATTTATTAATCTATATTTATTAACTTATTTACTAATTTATTTATTATTGCACACCAATTACAAGTAAAAAGAAGATGGAATAGCTAAACAACAATATTAATGCAAAATTCCATACATTCTAGTAGTCTAAAAACTGGCAAGACCATATCTCGGTATTTCGTTTGGTGAAGTATTGTATTTTACACTCCTGTATTTAAACATTATTTTGTTTGTTAATTTGGGAAGCTATGTACTATACAATGAATATTATATATCTCATAGTTTAACACATGCTATGTCGAGTTTTCGGAATGAGAGAATAAAGACTTGAGTTCTTCGTCAGTTGTGCTATCAGTTTTCTGTTCCAGCTCCTGATCACCAGCAGTTACACCCCAGCTATCTGACGTGGATAAACTCGCAGAGAATGGCCGACCTGAGGCGGGCTTCAAATTCCCCCAGTAAGAGCGGCGAGCTCTGTAAAATTTAAAAAAAAAACAGTGAGTGCAATATTACCAAATAATGGCAGGATCTTTGCGTTCCAATGACACAATAGGTGAATATAAAATAGGTGAATATAAAATGAATATTCATGGGAAATAGACACACATTAGATGGTTGTCAATCCGACATTTGGCAACTAATCTGTGTACTATAAATTAGTGTTTGTGTTTTTACAGCATTTTCATAATTTACAACAAGTAATAAGTATTGGAGCTCACGTATATTACAACATAAAACACGGTATATGAAATCAAGAACACGAGAAGTGCCTCGCCACAGCAGGTAGACGCGCACTCTACCCTGTCACACGCATTTTCCTAAACACAACAATTCGAAATGGCGTGTAGTGAACATCGCCACACAGTGATGGTAACGTAACAGCTGACTTTTGTAAAATACAAACAACGTATAAAGTCATGTATACATGGTTCGAATTGATTCTGCTCAATTCACGATTACAACAAGTGTATCCACCAGCAGAGACAATATATGAGTTGGTAATAAAACAAAACAATGTTTAATTCTAATTCAGTACATAATCTGATCTGATTTGTTTTATTTTAGCAATATGAAGAATATGAACTTAAAATGGCTTCATATCTATTTTGATAATTGTCATAGAAAATAATACGTGTTGTTGTCCCTGTAAACAAAATATGTATTGGATATACAAGTCTAAAGTAAATTTTTGGTAACGCATTATGTGCGCTATTCAGTTTGCCACTCGCAAATAAAAAGAAGTATTAATAATAATCAAGTACAATATAATGCGAATTATCAGAATGACAGTGGGAATGCGTTATCTAGGGATTTAGTTACATATTATGTTGACAAAATCTCGTTAAAGAACCTACTGCATGAAAGGAGTGCACACCCGAATCTATTTGATAGTTGAACGCGAATTCACAAATAGACAATCTTGCATTTTCAGAAATGTCATGTGGGATGACTAAACGCGATTTTCTGGTAGCTTTTAAATAATTTCGGTAACTTGGTCTCTTGAATAAACATTAACACATAATGAAAACAATCATTATCTATTATATCTCAACTTTCTGAAAATATGAATAATATAATTACAGGGATAATAGGAATATATAAACACACAATGAACGCGATTCAAACTGATGACCGCGCCATCCTATCTAAACCATAATAACCGCGGCGCGAAAGAGGAATAAACACGTAGCTACAGTGACTAGATAGGCTCCCTCAAGTCGAATCACTGACGTCAGACAACTTCGTATTGATAAGGCCAAGTATTCATGGTCACTATGACCTAGTTTAAGTTTATGTCAATGAAACGCTATACAGAATAGTCTTATTGCCAATGGAATATTCAGGTATTTTTCTGCGCTACAGGTGGCATTAAAGCCATTCAAACCACTCAATTGAGTGTAGCAAGGCGCAGTCATATTAGAGCACTCAGAATTGACCGAATCAAAATAAAACAACTTTGTTGCATACCTCGCTCTGACCCATGGTTTGGTATGTAGCCTAAGACCATCCCCCCACGGGGCATGCTTCTCAGATCCTGGGGGCAAGAAACCACGTTCTGGTGCCAATTCTTCAGAAATGGCACGTATATGGTATGGTTCGAAACCACAGCAACCTCCAATATACCTCACGCCCATTTTATAAGCTTCACGTGCATATGCTTGTATTTCCCAACGTGTGCACACACGTGGCTCTAAACCTGTGGGAAAAAAAACAATGCATACTTTGATTAAATCCTTGATTTAACACGAAATGGAATTTTGTACTGGAAAATTGGGTACTCTGATTACTAAATTAAGTAACACTACAGACAACGTGATCAGGTTGCTGATACAATCAACGATACCATCAGCTAAATATTTTACTGTGCATTTTCTTAAGTTTGTATATGTAGCACACAGTTATGGATCGTCGGGCAGTGCACGTCCAAATTTGGTTTTACACGGGTTCATATACATATATAATGCATATGCATATATAAGGGAGAATAATAACAATGGATACTCACTAAATGGAAATTCCGGTAGATCAATAAATCCTTGTTTATTAACATCCGGTGTATGATATGCTAATGGTTGAGTCATCAAATGAACTTTGAGTCCGGCAGCATCCAGGGCAGTCTTCATTTTACGTATAGCAGCAAGATTGGTAGTAGGGTCAAAATGGCAATTAATACCTACAATATCTGCACCTGTAAGACATAAATAATAGTGCGAATTGTTTTTAGTTTATAAATTTGGCTGCCTGTTCAAGGAGACAGTTCCAACAGTGAATCCGAAACACAATGAGCATATATATATATATATATATCGTTACCTGCTTTAACTAATCTGACAGCGCATTCACCCGTTGACACTCCATGCAGATCACCATCAGGTCCTATACATAGCGTAGTGGCAACTGGTAAACCAGTAGCTTTACATACTTCTGTTGCCCATTCAGCCTCTTCTATGTGCTCAAAATACTACAGATATAAATAGTACGAAGTCGGCGAATATAAAAAAAAAACTACAAAATCACTGGCCGTGAGAACCTACAAAATTCGATCATTATGTATTATGAATAAAGTGTATTGGATAGTATGGGCATTATACAATTTGAAAACAAACTATCGGATATGGGAAGGGTATTCAATTATAATCTTACCTCTGCTATAAGGAAATCTACTTTATTCTCCATGAATACGCTCATTTGTTTCTGAAACTCCTTCTGGGTAAATCCTTTGCCTTTACCGCTGAGATATGTTGGTGTTTGTGACACGCCTCCAGCCACCAAAGCACCACCTTCGTTTGCCACCTCCCTGGCTATGGCGCAGGCTGCAGTGTTTATAACCTTGCTCTGGGTGAATCGATTTATTTAAATTTATTATAAGTATAAACCATTATGATATTAATATTTATATATATATATATATATATATAGATATACGCTTACCTTCACTATTGATAATTATAATTATCTAATGTGTAAATGTTCAGTAATGAGGATGTCTAAACTGGTCACTAATTTATACAATAGTCAATGTTATATATGTACTAGTCCATTCGGATCGATCTAGCTAATTCTTCATTAACGATTGACAGTTTTTTGATTACTCACAGTCAATGTCTTTGAATTAATATATCCTCTGTTCTGCAACTTATCATCACTGGCATAGAAAGTGAATGCTTGCATAACATCAGAACCAGCACGGAGAAATTCACGATGTAACTGACGAACTGAAGAGCAGAGAACAGAAGAAAATAAGCCACTGACTTGTTTCGCCGTCAACTACTGAAGAATTGAATTACAGAACTTATTTGCATATGAATGTGAAGTGGTTTGTTAGAAGGGTGGTTATTAATAATATAATCAAAATTAATATACCCTGGCTCTGTATTGAAAAAAAGCGCAAGAGAATATTTCATTAGATTGAAGCATCCAACTAACTGTTGTCAGTTGTACTAGCTACTGGTATTACTTAAAATACCTCTTTGATTGCATAATGTGTGCTAAACTTGTTTCCATCGATATCAACTTGTATAAATAGGTTCGTATAGCCCAATCCTCGACGTTTGATACATACAAAGTGGTAAGGTTTGTTCAATATAACTAAGCAATTCGAGTAGTAATTAGTGTAGTTAGGGCCTTCTACCATCAAGTGTGTTCGGGGTTTCTACCGAGTTTGGAGGAACTCAGCAATTGTAGAATTAGCTTCATAAGTTGGTAGGCTAGAGGTACGTACGGGAATCGTTATCAGGCGGTAAGGACGTACACAGAGAAGAGATACAGATACGTGTAGTCCAGTATGTAACGCTTAGTAGATTTATTCGTAATATACAGTAGATCCAATCCATGACTGATAAAATCACTAACTATAAACAACTCCAGGGTGACGACTTAATCATAATAGTAAGATTAGACGGTTCACCGACAGTCCATTTGACTGCAGCTCCCTTCGTCGCCAATCGAGCTGATGTTACTGTAAACTCACTCGTTGTTCTGATGTTCCTCACTACTCAAAAAACAGTTCTTACCCTTTATACACATAAGCAACCAAATTGTGTAGTTTCTAATTTTAGAGATCTATTCACTTTGTCTTGAATGGTCATAGTTCAAATTCATTGTTAGTTCAAGGGCTGTTTTGATTGAGCAGTAAATAACATTTGTCCCTACTTAGAGGGTAGCAGAATTCAATGAACCGTAAAGCAATACAATCAAATTGTTGTCGTTGGGGAAAGTACACTCGTGACGTAGACGTCAAGTCCTAATATAAAAACACGTTATTTTTCAGGTTTACATTATATTTATTTGAGTTTATGACACAAATATGAAAGTTGATTCAACAAAATAGACATCAACCATAATACGATTAATTCAGTGGTGGAATGATGTTCGGAAAATGGTGCATCCATGTTGTCTCTGACGTACGTAAATTTGAAACACAGTAACTAAATTTGGAAACGGGGGGGGGGGGAGTGGAATGCTCATGGTAACACGTATCAAACCAAGGTAAACATTTGACCATTTGAGTCAAGTTAGCGCGAGATACGAGGTTGCATAAGATTATCATGTGGTTCCTTAATCTCGCGTACAGGAAAGCACTATGATTCCAACCCAATGCATCTGTCTCCTGGCTCGATACATCAAGTCAATCCATGTGGTATATAAACCGTCATGCAATATGGACATGACACCAGTGAGAATCGAAATGCTATGTTATTTACAAGCAATAATTTCAAACCAACGTTTATAGTGTATCTGTGCAATTGTTGAGCGGGCTTCGTTAGAAATACTACAAGCGTGTCAACTTTTACACAAAAATACCATTTAAAGAATTGTGGGGCCGACATTAATGTGAATTGGTAGTATTCAAATTTGGTTGGAAAATTGCTTAATTAAGGTTTAGTCAAATTTTTGCTGCAAATTTGTCTTGGAACATTATGATATATACTTTTCCATATAAACTGACCAGGTGTACATTCATGGAATGTAAGACAATTACATCGATGATGTCATCAATGTACTAGTATGTACTAACATCACATAATGTTGAAAACATGGTTTTATGTCGATATTAATAAATGAGGTTACCTGCTTCTGGGTGTTCTACTGCAGCCTCGGGAGTTGATGGTCCCATCTTCACGTAACCTCTCTTCTCAAGTGCCAATACAAATCCACCATCACCAACCACTATTTCACCAGCATCCAATCGCTCCAAAATTCCTCTAGGCTTTTCACCCTTTCAAAACAAGACAAAATAATAATCTTGTTCAGAAACGTCATCAGTTGTCCAGTCAATCTGCCAAGTATTTTAGGCGTGGTCTCAAATTAAACAAATTGCAATATAAACAAATCATGGAGAATTGTGTTGAATTTTGTGTCCTTTATAAAAGAAAAATCTCCTGGAAATCGCAAGAAGCGAAACATAACAATGCAGAGAATACTATTAATCCTAGTGTTCATGGAATATTACGCAAGGAGGTAGTGTCTGTCAATGATAAGCAGGGATTAGCGACGATAGATATCCTTTCCTGATATCCGTTCTATGATACAATACACTCGTCAATTTGCTACATTTGTCACATTATTAGACTTCAAGGAAAAAAATCTTACCGACTTTTGGCTGTTATTCATCTTTTGCCTACCAGTGGAAACGTCGTTGCTAGTCGGGTCACGGAGTTACAGTTGGGTGGTTCTTAAGATAGTAGAGAATATATATAACACTGGGCACAATACAAGAAGACGTGCCTACACACGAATTGGTGACGTCACCAAATACATGACCTTCAATCGGGATCGTTTGCTCAGTATAAACAAATTACAAATACGAGGGGCGTTTAATAAGTAATGTAGTGGTAATGCCTCTGACCAACTTCCAGTTGTCTGATCTAATGACATTTTGCATGTGTCACGATGTGTAATGATTTACATCTTTATGGGTTATGTTGCACAAAACAGCTCTGAACTAATTGTGGTTTCTGATTTACAGATGTTTAAACTGAGTCAGGTGTGAAATGGAGCCAGTTGAGTGTCGAGCAGTGATCCGTTTTTTGTATTTGAAAGGACGCACACCAAAGGAGTCTTTTGATGAAATGAAAGGAACTTATGGTGATGATGTCCCATCATATGACCTTGTAAAACGCTGGCATCGTGAATTCAAACATGGCCGGAAGTCTGTTGAAACAGCTCCTAGAGCTGGTCGTCCCTCTTCTGCCATTGGTGAGGCATCTGTCCGTCAAGTTGAGGCAGCCATTTTGAAAGATCAACGCATTACTGTTCGCCACATAGCCCAATAGGTCAAGATTAGTACAGGGTAAGTGGAAACTATCATTCATGACCATTTGTATGTGCATAAGGTGTATGCCAGATGGATTCCCAGGTTGCTCACACCTTTCCAGAAGCAAGAACGGGTCGAGTGCTCCAGGATGAATTTGGAGATGTGCCAAGCAGATCAGTCAAAGTTTTTCAAAAGACTGATTACACAGGATGAAACTTGGGCACATCACTATGATCCAGAGACCAAAGCCCAGACAATGCAGTGGAAGCACTTGGACTGTAGCCCTCCGCTGACAGGGTCATGTTCACAGTCTTCTGGGACCAGGACGGAGTAGTGATGATATATTTCCTGGCAAAAGGTACCACAATTACAAAAGCCTATTACGCTTCATTTTTGATGAACTTATAAGAAGCTATCAAAATCAAGAGACGGGGCAAGATCAGCAAACTTTAAGGTATCCTCCTCCTGCAGGACAACGATCCGGTCCACAACTCGCATGTCGCCAGATCAGAAGCACGGGCGTGTGGCTATGAAATCCACCTCCACCCCTTACTCTCTGCACCCTCTGACTTTCATCTCTTCCATGCCATGAAGTTGTTTTTGAAAGGAAAGCGTTTCCCAGATGATGTATTGATTTCCTAAGTTACGACGTGATTTACAAAAACAAAAACGGTGTCCAGAGCTGCATCAAACGATGGGAGAAATGCATAACTCTGGGTGGTTTCTATTTCATTAATTTCCTGCTATGGGAAATGGGTCAGGGGCATTACTTATTGAACGCCCCTCGTAAGGTGGAACAAATCACAATATAATGGTAATAAACCCGACCAATCGTATAGTCAGTGGGGTCACGCCAAAGGTTACGCACTTCGTTGCAACATGGCCGTATGGTTGTAACTAGGTCACTTGCAAAATCACAATAAAACGTGGTCGCATATTACTTCGTATCAAACATGGGAAATGAAAAACCGTCTAATACAAACGACAAAGGTTCGAATACTACTAAATAAACACTCACCGGAACCAAAGCAA